TTCCATGCTTATTCATTTTTTTTTCTGCTTACTGTAATATTATTGTATATTTCTTCGAGAATTTTTTCCATCTCTTAGTATTTTGAAGTTGATTTTATTACTTTAAATTGTTCATTTAATTATTGACAATAATTTCAAATTGTACAGTTTGTAAGTGTTACTTGTAACTATCAATTTCTTTGTACTTTTTATTAAACCAAAAAAAAAAAATCGCCTATTTGATTTAAATTACTAGCAGTTTGCTATTACTGTAACTAGCAGTAATTAAATTTTTTTTTACTGTTACTGTAATTAAATTTGCTATTACTGTAATTAAATTTGTAAATTTTTAGTAAATTAGAAATAGGCTTCAAAACGGTTACAGGAAATGAAAAAACATAACAATTCTCTCTTGTTTATTTCCCTCTCTTTCTCTTTCTCTCTCCCTCTCCCTTCCTTTCTCTTTTTCTCCCTTTCCTTTTCTTATATTAATTTTAGCATGACATTTCAATACATTTTGCTTAACATTTTTCCCACTCAGTAATCCAATGAATGTTTTGTTTTGGTACTGCATGACTTTTTGTAATTTTGAAATTTAATTTTCAAATTTTTCAAAATGACTCATTCTTCCTGTCCTTACTTTTATTTTTTTTAAAATTGTTTAATATGACAGTTTACTGCTCTTTTGCATATCAAAATTCAAGCAAACAGTTTTAAAAAAAGCGTAATGCAATGGATGCAATTTTTTGCAACTTTTACAAAAAATAAAAAATTTATTGGAATTTATAATTAGGTTGTCCTTCTTATGGAAAATTCCAGAAAACATCTGCTATGGAAAATTCCAGAAATATCTGTTGTGGAAAATTCCAGAAAATATCTACTGTGGAAAATTCTAGAAAATATCCATATCTCTCCAAAAATACTCCAATCTTCGATCTATGAACTTTGTTTTCATTCTAATTCTTTGTGAATAAGAAATCTCAAATAATTAAAAGAAACCTTTTTTTCACTTTCATTCTTCATCAAATACATATACATGATGGAAAAAAATCCTGTAACAATGATACCTCCAAAAAAATTTTTAAAATTTATGATTAAGTATTTTTTTTCATCCCAAATTTAGAATAAAATTATTTTGAATTAGAAAAATTCAAAAAAAAAGATGAATTTGGGATAAGAATCTAATTCGTCGTTGATTGGAGCATAAAAATATAAAAAAGATTATTTCCGGAAAACAAAATTTAAGGCGAAATGTAGTTTCACTTATAGCAGTAATAGTAGAAATTACGTTAGCTCTAATGAAACCGGAAAGATACCGGAGATACAAGATGGAGTTATAAGAGAAGGTTAAAAGAAAGGGTCACAATGAGGGGTTATAAGACAGAGTTATGAGACTTACAAGACAGGTTATGGGGTTGCAAGACAGAATTGCAAAATGGATTATTAAATGAGAAAGTAAAAGGCAAGGGAAAACTTTTGTGGTGTATAATAAATTTATTCTTGTCAAAATAGTCGCTATTATTGGAATAATACTTCTTTGCAATATCCGTTTTCTTTCTAACTTTGGTTAAACTTAAACCAACCAAAAGTAAAAGCTATTAAAGCATTACTTCTAATATGAAACATGTTAAGCAATATTTTCATCAATTTTCATTTTCATTTCCTCATCTAAGCTTTCTGCAAGCAACCAGACTTCCTTTTTCCCTTCCTCATTTAATTAATGAAGTGGAAAATAACTTCATCGTTAATTCCAACTCAATAAATCATCGTTTTTAATGCTCACCTCCAAGCAAATGAATCACTGTTTTAATATTTGTTTAAATTTCAAGTTATTTTTTAATATTATTAAAATTTGTTCAATTCGTACTGCAATTTCCATTTTTTGACAATGAATTTGAGCATTTTGATTGATTAATTTTTCTTTCTTTTTTTTTTTTTTTAAATCGATTCCTTTAATTCACTTTAACAACGTTTATTTTATTTGTCGAATAATTAATTTGTTTATTTTTGTTGAAAAAATTTTTATTTAATCGAAGAGAACATTTTAAGAAAGCAATAATAATTGGGCGATAATTTTGTTTCTTGTGGAAAATTTAACCTTTTCTATCGTTTGTTTTTTCCTTCCAATTTTATAATTTTTATTATAATTAATTAACATTACTAATTAGCATTGTTCTTTAGCAAACATTGGTGCTTCGTTTACATGCAGCTTAATTATTCTTATTGTGTAACTTAATCATTTTATCATTTCAAAGGATTTCATATTATGTTTTTACAAAATTTTTGCCACTGTCCATATATGCAATTTCTAATATTTGCATAAAATTAAAATATTTTGATGCAAAAAAGAATTTTAATGCAAGGAAAAAACGTTTTTATTTTACAAAAATTTATTCTTTTTTATTACTAACAGTTTTTTTTTTTTAATGTAATGATTTGTTTTGAATAATTTATAAAATAATGATGAATTTCAGATAGTTTCATATACATCCAGTCAGGAAACGGTTTGGCTTGGTGCAGCCGAATATCGTCGACATCTTCAGGTTTTTGTTTGTCTGTTTGTTTTTCTATTTTTTATTCATATAATTTTATTTTATACAAAATCTAATTAGACCTAATTAATCATGAGTAAAATATCTATTATTATTTTTCAAAGAACATATTCATTTTACAAATTTCGTTTTAAAATCTTTTTTTTCTTAAAATATATTTTCATTTGCATCATCCCTTAAAACTAGTTTTTTCTTTTTCTTCTTCTTTCGTCTTTTCTTTCCTTTTCAAATTTTGATTTTATAGAAACAAAAGGAAAGCAAACCTTCTAAAATGTCTTCTTTTAAATCTGCGAACAGTCATCGATAAGTTATATTTACTTCATTGAAAGCTCATTGCAGCATACACTTTATGATATCGCTTTTCAACATTTTTGTCCAAAAATAACTACTTTTAAATTTTCAATCTTATTTTCAATTGCAATTCACTTAATTGTTGTGTCATTATATCTTGCTGTTGTCGTTGTTTAATTTATTAGACAATTAGTTATTATCGAATAATTATTCATTGGATATTTTTAGCTTAGCAAAAAAGATGAGAAAAGAAAGAAATTTAAGTTGTTATGAAGTCGGAAAGCTGTTTTCTCTTTTCCCTTTCCCTTTTTTAAATGCATTTTGAAAGTTTTAATGAAAAAAATGTCATAATTCTTTCTTTTGCGTTTTATTTTATTCCTTAACCTTATTTTTCTCTTTTTTTTCTTTTTTTTTTGTTTTTTATTCATTTTTATTGCATTCATTCTTTATTCAGATCCCACTTCGAATATCAGCTTTCTTTTAATCGATTATCAAACAATTCAATTTTCTTCTAGATTATTTTCCGTCTCTTTTCCAGAGTCAATATCAATCTTCCGGTTCACTTACACCATCAACACCTCGTGCCTGTGATACATCATTAAACGGAGTAAGCTTTTTTTTTATGTTTCATTCTTCACGCCTTTTCTTTTTTCCTTTTTGTTTTGTTAATTTTTGCGCCTAACAAGGAAACAATGAAGTTTCTATTTTTTTTTTTTCAGAAATCAGTTAATTTTGTTGTTTGTTTATATTGGTTAATTTTTTCTTTCGATGATTTTTTTTCTTCCTTTTCACTTCAGTACCAAAATATCGTGGTTATTTTTTATTACAACCGTCGTTATTTCAAGATAATTAATTACTTCATTTAGTATAATTATTATCGTTATTTTTTAACACAGTTATATTTATTGTTTAGAAACATTTGTTTCAATTTTTCAATTGGTTTCTGTTCACTTAGAAATTTAGTATAAATTTATGATTGTCATTTCGGTTGTATTTGATTGTATCACCAGAAGAAACAAATTAATTGAATTAATTATCCTGCAGAGCCATCTATCGATGAGCAGTTGGTCACCTTGCTCAACTCGTTCAATATCACCTGGTGGTTCACCACTTCATTTACGCGGTTCTTGGGCATATGATATTGTTTATTTGCCGCCAAGTTTGGAACGATCAATTAAAATTCAAAAAGGAGCACTTTCACTTGGTACCAAAATTTTTGTAAATTTTTGATGAAACAAATAAAAGATTGTGCATATGAACTTGCTCATTAATTGATTTCTTGTCCAAAAGAAAAAAATTAAGGAAATAAATTTATTTTGGGTACATTTTCAGGTGTAGTTTTAAATGCGGAAATTGATAAAGGTATCAATGGTTGTCAGGTGAAAAGTATTTGTAGCAAAAAAGCTGTGGGACGCGATGGGAGAGTTCAGGTAAACTTTTTGATATATTTTACGAAAAGTTAAAATTTTATTGTATATGATATAGTTCTGATATGCTAACTAAAAAAAATACAATTGAAAGTGCAGATAAGTTATGATTTGTTTTATAAAATATTGAAAGGATATCAAGTGGACATGAAAGACTACTACAATAAGTTGGTTTATTAGCTCGACAAACCTTACTTATTGACTATAATGGATGATCAGGTTAACAAGTGAAATAAATGAGTGCAGAAAAAAGGGGGAAATTTATGGTTTTGGAATTTTCTTTTTTTTAAATTTAATAATTGAAATTAATTTGAATTGTTGAGAGCGAAAATAAATTATTTTCATCTTTTTGTTCAAAACGCTTTTTAATTTAAAGGTGAATGATTATATTGTGAAAGTAAATATGGAAAGTTTACGAAATGTTACGAATTCGCAAGCACGTGCTATTTTGAAACGAACTAATCTGATTGGTACACAGTGCAAGTTTGTTTTGTTTTATTTTGTGTTCTCTCTTCCCATGCTCTTCACGCTTACCAACAATTCCTTTCCACCGCAATAAATTTTCACAAATTCTTTTCGAAATTTTGAAATTTTTTAAAGTTTTCTTTTCCTTTTTCATACTTTTTTTAAAAAATCGTTTTTAATTAGCTGAATTTAACACTTATTGTATTACATATCGATAAGGATCGTTTGATTCATGTTGATTTGTAACTCTCTGGTACTTTATTTTTTAAACTTTCATTTCAATTAATTTTTTAAATTTCATTTTTCTCTTTCAATTCCAGCAGTCTAAAATTCATTGGGAAAAACGGAAAAAAAATCAAAAATTTTTTGATTTGGACTTCAAAAATTATCTGCCATTGATAACTTCTTTATCGTAAATAGTTTAGAGGTGACATTGAAATTCAATGAGCGATAATGAAAGCATTTTGATTTTATTTCATTAGCAAAAAAAAAAGGAAAAACATTAAAATTCATTAACAAGAAAGAAATCAAAACCTGAAATCATTAACAACACTTAAATACTGCAATAAAGTTAGAAGAAAACGATGGAGAAGAGAAAGAAGGAAAACAATGACGAAGAGACGAAGAGGGTAGTTAATTAACAAACAAATAATCAATTCATCTTTTAATTAAAAAATTGAACACATTCTATTAGTAATTTACTTCATCTTCCAATGCTGAGAACTAATTGCTAAGTTAGTAAAATCCTATTGTTTTTTTTCTTTTTCAATCGAAACTTTTAACTTTCTTTCCAAAAATTTGAATTTTTTATCGTTTTGTTTCATTTTTTGATTTTATAAATGTTCGTTTTTTATAGCATAACTTATATCACTGCTTCCGATGCAAAAATTTGGAAAGAAAAGTATCATCATGAAACAGATTATCAGTTACCCGTAGTAAATAGACTTTCACCAAAGTAATTTTTTTTGTGTGTTTTATTTTATTATTTAAATGAGATTCATTAGTTTCATTGCAAATGAGGCTTTTTTTGGCTAAGGGAAAAGCGATGAGGACCATTAATTAGAAGCGGTGCGAGCCATTAATTAGCGTTAATTAGGGGAGTAGCATTAATTAGACGAAGAAATTAATGTCCTTTAGTGTGATTTTTTTGCAAAATTCTTTTTTTTCAGAATTTTTCCGAAATTCTATCGCAGTTCATATCATGATGGAAAAATGGAACAACAAGGTTCATTTGATAGTGTTATGCTCATTTCCGAAATTTCTGCATCATCTGAAGTTCCATCATTGGCTAAAAAGCGATCAGATAGTATTCCAGTTAATGAGAAATCGACCGAACAGTTTGTTTACAATTTTGTTCAAGTAATATTTATTGGCTTTTTGATATTTAATTTGTTTTAATTCAATAGCAGTCTATTTTTGCTTAAATTCATTCTAATAAGCTAAGCTTAAAAGGTTTATTAGCAGTCATTATATTAATACTGGGATTACCTTAGAAAGAATTTTATAATCCAGATTTATTCATTTTCTCTCTCTGTCTCTTCATTTGTCTTCCTTTGATCAAGTGAATTTAAATTTACGAACAATTTTCATATCAGATAAACTTCATTTTCGAAGAAAATGGCTGACAACCGGTATCAGGAATATTTAGATTCTCTTTTCGGGAATTACTGCTATATATATGTATTGATTTATAACGTTATATGAAAAGTTGTTGAGAAATGAAGATTTATGAGAAAAAATTTGAATAACGTTTTATCGCGAAAACTTGCAAGAATTTTATGTTTAATAAGTTTAACAAACTTATCTTTCATTATTTGCAAAAAAATGATATATTCGTTCTTAAAAAACGATTGTAATCTAACACGTCTTTATTATGTAAATTTTTTTCCTAAATATTTTTAAAGAATTGTACAATTAATTAATTAATGATGTAGTGAGTACCAAAGTATCAAATAACAGCATTAAATAACTATTAAGTGTTACATAACATTTTAATGATCCTTATTTCAGCCTTCACTTTCATTTCTCTTTCTTTCGTTTTTTTAATTTTTTTTTTAGTCACAAATTATGCAGTTAACACGAAATTTCGATTACTTTTCTCATTTCACTACAAACTTTTACGTTGTAATTAAATAATAATAAAATAAGTCAATGTCAATTAATTGCCGGTTGCACTTTTTATTTTTATATTTTTTTTACTTATATCCCTTTTTGCAAATATTATCGACATGAGTGATTCAAAGTGTGTGACATATGAGAAATACTAATTAAACATAATTAATTAAATGGTTGTTGGTCTAATCATAGTGTAGTTTATCATTTTGTTTGATTAACATTAAAAATTATTAAAAAAACTTCCTTTTTCATTTTGAGGAAATTTTTAAAATTCCAAAATTCATTCGGCATTGTTTATTTTTTCATTTATCCTTTTTTTTATTGCAATGATGAATTGATGACCAGTAACTAATTGCAATTGGCAAAATAACTAATTAATTTAGCGGATAAATTTAGAAAAGAAAAGCAAAAAAAATTGTGAAATTTCTGTCCTTTGTAAATTTTGGACGAAAGTTTTCATAAAATTTAAAATAATTTTTCTTTTAATGACTTTTTTCATAATTTTCAAGTTGCAAATTCAGATATATTCGTACTACTTTATACATACATAGTCGTAATATTTTCGGAAAATTAATAGAATGAATCATTTTGAGGATAAAACGAAACCAAAATGAAAAAATGCTTTTTAGCAGTGTAAGCTTATTTTTTTGTTTGAAGCCTAATTGACTTGACTTTAACTTATGGGTTTTAACAGAAGATTGTCAACAGTGATTATATCCAAAACTAAAGTTAGCATGAATAACTATTCAGACAGCATTAGATCTTTTTATTTCATTAGACCAAAATATAGGAGCTCTTCTTGTTCGTATATTTGAGTTTGGCTCAAATAAGCCTTTGCCAATTTTTTTTTCCACTTCCTAAATTATAGCATTTTTCTCCATTTCGTTTTATTTTTCATACTTGATTTTGTAATTTTTGAAGACTTAATTAGAGGGTACATTTTTCAAAATTTATACTGAATTTTGGATTAACTTTTTTCAACAAATCTGATTTTCTTGAGAGATTTTAGTTTTTTTCAAAAAAATTTGGATATTTAATTTAGTGAAATGTTATTTTAGGCACTTTTGAAAGAGATATGGCTGGAATTATTTACTTCTGAACATTTACCGAAAGCGACAAGTTTGGATTCGTCGGAGAAGGAATGTCGACCTTCGTTGAGTGAACTGATTGAAACGACACCATCCACAAGTGTTGCGCCAGAAGAAGTTCGTTTTATTTTTATTTTTAGCGTAATTAGAAATTTTCTTGAATTGAAAAATCCTGAAGTCTTTTTCCATACCTTATGAGAATTATTACACACAAAGCATGAAAGCTTTCAATTTTAGATTCCTAGACAGTCGGCATCATCCATGGAAAGATTAGATTCTTCGGAAAATTTACATAAAAAAAGTCAGAAACTGATTAGTAATAGAATTTCCAATACATCCCTAAATGAAACAGAATCCGGAAAAGAAAAGAATTATTCGTTAGCATCAGGAAAGGAAGAAGATTCTGGGATGGATGGAAGGAGGAAAGGGTATGTACTTGTAATGATTTTTTTCTTTCCTTTACTGTTGCCTACTCATTAATTTTATATCTTTTTGGAAATCAAAAAAATGAATTCTGAAATTTACTATTTATTTCTACTGCTTCAAAAAATTCATCATACATTCCAACTTCCAATTTCGTAAAATTTTTTAATCTCATTTTAACAAATGAATTTAAATTCAATAATTTGGATTATATTTTTTTTAAACATTCTATATCAAGGCGGCAGAAAGAATCAGCAGTTCCGGTATCCTCAGAGCAATTAAATATGGCATCGGGAACTGATCAGCTGATCATCCAGAGTGAGATGAAGCAGAATAGTTTGACTGAAGCTGAACTAAATCCATCGATGCCAGCAATCTTTTCGGACGATTCGTTACCTTCATCGCTTTCATCCGAAACATGCTTGGTACTTCTGTCCATTCATTTTTTTCAATTTTGATTCTTCTAAATTGATATTTATATTCTAACCATTTTGAACAGAATCCCGGAATTACCACTCACTCCTAACGCCTTTAGTTGAAATATCACTACTTTTCTTACACTATGTCCATTTACGATTCAGTATTTTCCAAAGGTTAGCGGAATACGAATTCATCAATCTGGAATGTAATGCCGAGTTACTCTATAAAAAATAATTACTAACTGGTCACTTAATTTTACGCCAGTAATTCTATTGTTTTGAAAATTTATTGACTGATCAAGAAGCCAAAGTTTAATAAAGAGTGCTTCTTACAGCCAGCCAGCTCAAATCGTTTCAAATTTTGGGGTCAAACAAGGACAGTCATATTAAATCGTGAGCCGAATCAGTCATTCGGTAAGTTTAAAAAACAAAATGAAAAGAGAATAAACTTGGCTTGAAAAGTAAAAAATCCGCAACACGTATATTCTAGAATACGCATATTCTAGAACACGTATACTCTATAACACGTATAAAAACAACAGATCACAAAACACTTATATCTTGAACATACTTTTCTGAATCTTTTTGCTACTTTTGACATCAAGTGGCATTTTTTAAAATTTCGGACTGTTTGGTTTAATTTTTCTTAAATGAATCAGAAAAATTAAAAGATTAAGACGGAAAAAATAAATTAAAAATTAATTGCAGGTATTAGTATCGTTGGCGGACGCGTGGAAGTAAGTCATAAAAGTGGACAACCTGGTATGAGGAGTACTGTCTCGGGTATTTTTATCAAATCGGTCCTGCCAAATTCACTTGCTGGTCTTTCCAATATGATGAATATGGGTGATCGAGTAATTAGTGTAAGTAAATTGAAACGAGTATACTGTAACAGATAGCAGTCATCTTAATCGGAATGGAATGTGAGGAAGACAAAAATGGAAGTAGATGAGAAGATGAAAAAAGCTAAAATTTTGAGTAAAGAGAAGCAATTTCAGCTTAAATGCAGTAACTTGGAAAACAAATGAATAATTAAAATTGAGTAAAATGAGTTAAAGTTACTCTGACTTCCAGGTAAACGATCAAGATTTACGTGAAGCCACTCATGAGCATGCAGTTCAGGTAATAAAAAATGCGAAGAATCCGGTGAAATTTGTTGTCCAAAGTCTTCATAGTCTTCCATTGGATCAAGTAAAATTCTTCAATGCATCTTGTTATTCATCTTATTATTTCTACAATTTAGTCTTTTAAGGAAACGAAGTTTTAAAAACTTTAGAAATTGAAAAAAAATTTATATTGTTTTTGAAAATCTAAAATTTTCAATATATATATATATTTTTTTGGAATATATTTTCAATATGTACACTTATATTATTTTTGGAAATTTACACTCTTTTTGTATATATTTGTTCGGTATTTCCGGCAAAAATTTTCCCTCTAGCGAAGTAATATAATTGGTTTTGAGACTGATATTAATGAGGAGGAAGATGAGCAAAGGGAAGAGGATGAAAAAAGTATGAATAAACGGTGGAAAGCAACAGAAGAATGTGATAATTTAGGCGCAACAAGCACATCCAATCTTGTGGAAATTGCAATTAAGGTGTGATTTTTCTTCTTAAACATAATGTCAGTGAATACTTTACAAATTTCGCTTTAGTTTTATTTTAATCTTTTCAAAAATGTATATTTTTATGCGTTGCTGTTTCTTTTTCAGAATTTAATTTTTCCAAAATTTGATTTCTTGAAGAGAATTATTCTATTTGTTTTTCAAAATTCAGTTTTTGCAAAATTTAAAAGGTCATTTGTTTATTCATTCTTTATTTGTATTTGCCTTAAAAAATAAATTGGAGTAAATTTGCATAAGTTATTATGATAGTAAGACGTTCTCTTTAGAATAATATTGCACCATTGGTCATTAAGGAGTCATATTGTGGTCATATTCGAGAATTGACAGCAATCGAAGAAACATCGAGAAGAGAAAGCTTAACTTCGGTAGGATTGAAAACTGAATCACAGAAAAGAGATGAGTTCCAGTTTGACAACGTGGGAGGACATGAAATGGCTGAACCTATTAAGAAAACATCAATTATTATGAACGTAAGTTACTACTAAGCATTTTTCTTATTCCCCAAAAAAAGAAATTTTAACAAATACAAGAGTAAATTAGTTAATGATTAAAATATAGCTATGGATGATTTTGTCATGCTTAATCCTTGATCTCTTATTTCTATTTCATGCTATATGAATTGGGATTTCTTCGGGAATTCTCAAAAAAAATCTCTTCTGGAACTCTTAGAAAAGATTTTTCTTTCAGGATATTGCTTATAGAAGAAATTTTTGGATAATGTTTGTCCTGAGTTGCTTTCTTTTTAACTATTAATTTTTTTTTTCAGAAAGAGAAGCTTGAAGGAATGGACACTTTGGAAAACTTATCACAAAAACGAAATGATATAAAACGAGAATCGGAAAATGTGAGTGGTGCAAGACGACGAGAAATTGATCCAGATAGTGCTGCTGCGCTACCAAAACGTGATGAAGATCTGGAAGAGGAAGATCAGTTCTTCTATACAAAAGGTATTTACTGTAATTTAAATTTTAATTTGATTTAAAAACGAATCCATTATCCTCATATTACTGAAACTTTTAATATACGTTTGTAAAGTGAATCGTAGCAGTTTGGATTTCTTGGCACACAAATAAATGAAGTTTGACGTGCTTGACGTTACATGGATACGTAAATAACTATTAACATGAAAATTCCATGCAATTTAGATAAAATAAATCGAAAGTATGGTAATTTATTGGGTGATACGATATTGTTGAAGTTGGATAAGGTACCACGTAATGGTCTTGGTTTATCGCTTTCAAGCAATCATGATCGCGATCAGATGAGTATTCTAGTGGTTGCGGTAAAGTCCAATTGTCCATTATCAGTGAAAATTGGTGACGAGCTACTTGAAGTACATTTTTGATGCTTATAAAAAGATAAATGAGAATAATCGATGAAATAATAAATGGGATGAGTGTTGTAAATTTATGCAAGTGGAAAATTTGGTTAAGCTTACAAAAGCAAGGAAGGGAGAAGACAAAAGAATGGAAGCGTTTTTAAATTTAGATAGCTTAATATCAAACGTTCTACCTGATATTGCTAAAATTAATAGGTAAATGGGAAGGTGCTCATTGGTTTATCACATTTGAATGCTTCTTCAATAATGCGCGAATGTTGCGAAGATGGCATCTTAGAATTGTTATTGCTAAGGAGATTCGAAGCATTGGTGACATTTTTTTTTTGTATTTTTTAGATTCGGAAATTTCCATTACAAAAATTTACGAAAAGTAGTAGTAGCAATAATATTAAGAAATGCACAAAAGCCTAAATTATTTTACGTTTGATTCTCACGATCAAATGCATTCCCAAAGAAAAAGAAATCATATTTATTCTTTAAATAATTCTTGCAATAGAATTAAATTTTTGTAAGTCGTAACAAAAATCATTCAGTAAAATCTTCTAATTATAAAAAGCACTGATCTTGAATTTTCTTGTAATTTAAGCCGTTAATAGTCCTTTTAAATTCAATTTAAAAAATAAAAGTGTTTCGATTCATCAAGTTGATAAATAGGAAACTACTATTTATCATAGTTTGATTTAACATCTAATTTTAATAGTAGTCACCCTTTTTTTCATAAAATCTGATATGACGATTATTTGATGAAATATTCGAATTTCATTTGATTTTATAAGGCAATGATTGCATTGCTGTTGAAAATTTCGCAGTAGAATTCAGTATTTTTGGTGAATTTCACTTATTCGCTTCATATTTCACCCAAATTTATTAATCTTATTGATCAATTTTTTGCAAGAGAAGAATATGTCAATGAAAATAATATTATATTTTAAATTAAAAGTATTATGATATTAAGTATTATGTGTAAAATTTCCTAACATTCTTCAAGATTTGATTATTCCTCTGAGTTTGAAAACGTTGGAAAAAATCTGAAATGATTATCATTTCAAAAGTTAATGGAATTTTTTTTCCACCCACCATTTCGATAGGAGAATATTTATCATGCATCGTTTCAATATAATGTTATTAGTAAGATGATTGTAAGAATTTTAAGAAAATCTTGATTTTTTTTGTTTGAAGAAATCAAGTTAAATAACCACTACTTTATTTCTAAATCATAAATTTACATCTTCACTAATTATCTGCTGTTATTTTCTGTTCCTCCATTTTTTAATTATCGCCTATCATTTTTTCATTCAATTTAATTAATCCTTCTGCGGTTCTATAATTACTAATGTTTTAGAAGAAAATGCATGCTAAATGTTGATTCATAAATCGCAAGATAAATTGGTGGTGGCGTCGAAACCAAAATTATGATGTTATGTTTGTGTAAATCAACATTTGATATGTCTGTGTCGCATCAGGCTTGAGACATGTGACGCCATATCTATGCTGCATCAGGCCTGAAATATCCCATATCTATTGCACCAGACTTGAAACACTCGATATCATACCTGTGTTTTACCAGGCCTGAAACACTCGATATCATGCCTGTGTTTCACTAGACTTCAAATATTCGCTATCACGCCTGTGGCTGCATCACGAATGATTGCGTTCAGCACAATTTCCTTCATTATGCCATATGACCAGGAAGCAAGAAGTAGTGTGTAGTGAGAAAGTAAGTAGTTAAAATCTAGAACAATGGGTGGTCAAATTCAGAGTTAATTTTAAGCCAAGCCTTAAGCATCATTGTCTTTTCTCTATTCTTCTGTCTCTCTGTCTCTTCCGGTCTGTTTTTCTTCCCTTCCCCTTCTCTGTTCTCACTTTGAAGTAAAATCAATTTAAACTATGGCCTTGTTCTGTTGAAATTCTATCTTATAATGTGTCGATAGAAAATGGCTGCAGAAGAGGAATGTCAAGTAGCAAAGGAGGACAATCACATTTTTTCTCTTTAAGCTTTGGGAACATCTTTCTTTAGGCCAAACCTTCTCTGTGATCATTGAGACAATTATCTGAATTTGTTTACATCCACTAAATCATATTAAGATTGCTTTTCCAGTGAACTTTCCCTTTAGGCTATGGCTATAACTCCGTTGGAATTTTAACCTAGTTCCAGACTTTTTTTTCATTTGTTTTCCAGTTTCCCCTTTTTTTTCTTTTATTGAAATTCCTAAGCAGTTCTCTTTATCATTTAAAGTACAAGAATTTTTTAATGTACTATTTGTAATCGTTTGATTAATATTAATATTTATATGGCAAGAAAAGAGTGATATGAAATGTATTTATTAATGTTTGAATAATTCTTGAAAAAAAACATTTTCTTCCCAAAAATTTTTCAGTTATCAAAAAAAATCATTTAATGTTGAAAGGAAAAAAAGACGAGAATAGACATACGAAAGTTAATCATTTCTAACTTATCTAATTTAATGAAGTCACAAAAAAAAAGAAAAAATCCGACGACAAAAAACCTTCATCATTCCGTAAAACCTTATTGAATAATCATTTCATTAAGAAAATGCTACTAAAATTAATGATAATTTATTTATATCTTAATTTTTCTTCTGCAAACAAAAGTTAGTTACTACCACAGTCCACTTCGTTGTCCGACAAACTCTATCAGCTAGTAAATGTGATGATACATTAAGGAAAAATGCTCTAGCACTGATTGACTGGTTCCTGATATTTTAAAGCATAAAGCTATAAGCCAAGAGACTTTTTTACTCCACATATGCTTAAATTTGAACCACTCTTGACATGAGTGGCTTATTTTGAATTTGAAAATTTATGATCTTTGAAACATCTCATCTAATGTTGTTTGCTTAAGTTTACGTCATCATTGTTGCTGCAATGCAATTGTATTCTTGTCTTTCATAAAATGAAATTTGAAAAAAAAAACAAAATGCCCATTCTTGCTTTGAGGATTAATCGATAAGTGTAAAGTACTTTACAGTGAAAGTTTCTGATAGTCAAGTGATGACATTCGAAACTTTTTCTTTGTGATAAATATATCCATCGATGTTTGACTTTTTCTGTTTCTTTTCTCGTTTGACGATTAACTTGAACAATTTTACCTTTATTGATCAAGTTGACTAATTTTACTTTTGTTGATTGAGTTGAACAATTTTACTGATAAGTAGTTTTACGAATAATTTTACGTCTACTAATTGAGTAATTTTTCGTCTACTAATTAAGTTCAGTAATTTCACCTTTTCCACTTCCACTGATAAATCCAGCAATTTTACTTGTGATTAGTTTGAGTGATTAATTCTTTAGTGACTATTTGAGTGATTTTTTCCGTTGATTAACTTGAATAATTTTATTTCCACTCATTAAGTTGAGTAATTTCACTTCTGCTAATTGAAGCAAGTAGTTTTACTTACACCAATTAAGTTGACTAAAAAGTATTTGATCAATTCCGACTCTTTCATAATACTGACTGTGACAATACTTCATGATACTGTTCGATGTGACAGAAGTAACTTCAAGGTAGATTGATGCTAATTTATTGTTGAAAGTGATGCTTGTGAAAACATTTACTATAGAAAATTTAATGTGAAAAAATATTAGTGTATTTCTTTTTTTATTTTCATTTTTCCTATTTCAACCTTTTTTTCACAGTTTTTATTAAGGTATATCTATTTTGTTAATTATATGTTGGGTGCAGTTTACATTAAGGTATATCCATTTGTTAATTATAAATTAATTAAGTGTGGAGATTGACATGTTAATATTAGTACAATTTTACTGTTATCGTTAAGATTAATCATTGATTTGCTTTACTTTGATTTTTCGTCTATTAGACGAAAGATCAAAGTATTTTCATTTTCAATCAGTCGAGAAAAAAGAATCAATTATAATAATTGACCATAAATTATATTTGCACTCATATAACGAAATACTTCGTTTTTTCTTTTTTTTTTTATTCAGCAATTTTCTATTCATAATTTTTTATTTATTAATCTGTTTTCTAATTTGACATCTTGTCATTTTTAATCATTTAAAGAATGTTTGTTTGAATAATATGATTAAATAGAGAATTCTCGAAGATTCCTTTTGTCTAAAAAAAGTCAGTATTGAATTTCTTTCTTTTTTCTTCTTTGGTAATTTAGTTTGATAGCCTCTTCGAAGTTATCCAATTTTTATTTACTTATTTTGAAGAATTTTTTATCAATTAAAATAGAATTAAATGTGCAGACTTTCTTGTTAAATAAAATTAATATAATTTATAGTAGTCCGAAAAAAGTAATTTGTACACTTCTCATTAAATAAAATTAACATAATTTACAGTAGTGCGAGAAGAGTAACTTGTATGCTTCTCATTACAGTAATAAGTACATTGGCCTATGCAATTGAGCCTTATTGTTGTCACAACGATAAGCATACAATATGACATTTTGCTTATCAATATTATATTATTCTATGATAATTAATTAAATATCTCGAATACATAGCAATAGCTTCTTTTTTATTTATGCAAAAAAAAATTGGCCTGATTCGTACATATCGAGTAGTTTTGATCAAAATTAGCAAATGAAGGAGAATCTAGTAAAATAAAATACTAATTTATTTGTAGGCAATTACTTTGGATTCAAGGAAATTCAATGGAAGTAATACGATTGGAAACGAAGCACAAATGAGTAGCAATAGTGGTGAAACGAATGCGCAACATTCCACTGAAGGTAATGTTAACTTCTTATATCGTTTTCTTTTTAATTTTCGAATAAAGTCCACTAATGTAACTAATAAAATAAAGTATGTTGATTTAAAATGCTATTAGGAATTTGTAGATATTATTGCTTCTTCCGTACTGCTAATTAATCATTTTTACTTCTCGATGGTCAAGTTTTCTCAGGAATTTATCTCATTTTTTTCTTTTTTTTTTGTAACTATGAAATTTAAAACTACCAGATGTTAGATTATGTGTTAGTAAATCCAACTTTTTTTAAATTTTTGTTTTCAAAAAAATTTCGGAATTTTGAAATTTTTTTTCGGTTGAAAAATACACACGCGCTCACGCTCTCTTATAGATGTGAAGAAAAAATCATCTCGACAGAATGAATCAGTCGTTGGTATTGAAACTGGACGTGAAACGCTTATCGAAATTGATAAAGATGGAAAGGTATTGTAGGAGTGTTTCATTTATGTGTGATTTGGAATTTGTCATATTTTAATGATTTGAAATTTCAAGCGGCATTTGCCTAATCCTTCACATTTCTTCATAGTATACCATAATTATAAAAATGATTAAAATAGCAATCGTACACTTCTTGGCTTGGCTCAGATTGGAAATGGGTTTAAATATGAGGCTATGAAGTTTTATTTCTTTACCTGTTATCAATAACTCTTATCAGTAACTGCATTCCTATTGGTATTTCCTGTCCCTTTTAAATTGGTTAATTATTTATTCCTAGTCTTAAGAATGTAAAATACTTGTTTGGTTATTTGGATAATTTGATACAAATTTCATGCTGTTTCATAATTCAGGGTCTGGGATTGAGTATTGTTGGTGGTTCCGATACGGTGCTGGGTACGGTTGTCATTCATGAAGTATATCCAGATGGTGCAGCAGCAGTTGATGGCCGATTGAAACCCGGTGATCAAGTTCTCGAGGTATATCTCTTGCTTCATTTTTTTTTTTTTGATTTGCTATAATTAAATCAGCTCGATATCAAATGTTAAGAAAAATATTGAAGTAGAAAGTTTAGATTCAAAACAAAACAATATATTATCTATCCATTTGTTTTTTTGAATACACATGGTTGCAATTGCTGATTAAAGCTAAAGGTTAAGAACTGGGTTATTCATGGTTACATTCATTTGATCTACTGCTAAATTCAGGTAAATGGAGTATCGTTACGTGGCGTAAGTCATGAACAAGCTATTTTATTGCTTAGAAGGACACCAACGAAGGTTTGTTTGTGATTAGTTTATGTTATTTGTTTTCTTTTTTTGGCTCATTTTTGCATAAAAATGACGAAGAGAAAAAATGGGAATGCAAATATATTGGATGTATGTGTGACATTGGTTTACGGTCAAAATTCAACGTGTTTGGTTCTGATTGCTGAACTGTTTGTTACAGAAGTCCTGCAAAAAGGTGTCCCGAATGAAGCTTAGTATAAAACCTAATCTTTAAATTATTACATTTGATCTTATCGTTAATTAGATCTTCTACAAATTTAATGCAAATTTTCCCAACTATGAAAATTTTCAAAAGACTAACTTTCTAAAAAATAGCAGTGGGATGACTGTCATCAGAGTTCGATGATCAACTACTATCAATAGATCAATTCTATCAACAGAATTGATCAGTCAAGTGCACTCACATTCAAATCAATCATTCAGCAAATTAAGGTTTCTTTACTGATATATCGTGATGTAAACCTGCAACTATCACTTTTGGATCCGACACAGATTTACAACATTTTCGAAATAGAACTCACCAAGAAGCCGGGTCGAGGACTTGGACTTAGTATAGTGGGCCGGAAAAATGAGCCTGGTGTCTATGTTTCGGAAGTGGTCAAAGGTGGCGCTGCTGAAGCTGATGGACGCCTAATTCAAGGCGATCAGGTTAGATTGATTTCATTTATCAAATTTTTCCAAAATTTTTTACAGTCAATTCAATCTCTACCTCTAAAAAGCTTTGTTGGAAATTAGTTTCAATTTTCTAAATTGTTGCGATAATTTTCTGAGCTTTCTCTCTAAAGTTTGTTAACTTCCTTAATTTCTCATCTTTGTTTCATTTATATTTGATTATGCAAATGTTTCGATGATCGTTATTGTTTATGATGTGACAGTATCATGTGTGTGTATCATTTAAACTTTGCTGATTCTTTCAGATACTTGCTGTTAATGGCCAAGATGTGGCAAGTGCAATGCAAGAGGATGTGGCAGCCAAGTTAAAAGTACTTATCAGTTGATCATATTTTGTTATGAAATTCAGAAATTAACAGTACTTGAAACCAATTAATTAATTAGTTTCTCTGTATAAATACTCAACAACCAAAAACGGATAAGCAGTGCATTCTTTGTCCAAATTATTTTAGGCTTGTACTGGTCGTGTCACTCTAAAAGTTGGCCGCTGGAAGTTAACCGAAGCAGCCAATAAAGTACATGCTGCAGCAGATGCTGCTTTATCCAATAGTGAACGACATTCCGATGATGCTACACAGCAATCGAAATTAATAACAACATCTAAAATTAAATTGTGTGCACCAAATAATGGTCAGTATTTCTTTGGAAAAGAATGACCGGCCAACCAGCAAGTTATTTCTAAAAGAAAAAAAACAGATTACTTCATTCGAAATGAAGTTTCACTTCAGCTATTTATCATTGAATACACTTTTTTTGGTCTTTCAAAAATTCAAAGAATTCGAGATTTCAGAAAGTAGTTCCGTTTCAATAACACCAAATGATCGTAAGACAACATCTCTATCAACATCGGTATCTGTTTCAAAATCACAAATATCTACAAGCGAGGAAAATCAATCATCACAAATTACATATGCGGATCTTTCACCGGTAACGGAAGAATCTAGTAGTGGAGCGGATCAGGTTAATTGGAATTTTAAATTCCCTCATTAATTTATCATTATTTATCTAGCGAATTTAAAATTTTTCCATTTTTCAACCATTTACGATATGTTTGATATTATGTTATGCTTTTTCAACTAATTATTTGGTTTGTTTTTCAGAAATCATCAGCAGCTGATGAAGAAAGTTCATCAATAACCAGTTTGGGTCAAAATAAAGACATTGAACTTATCAAAGATTTGAATGAAGAAAATAGTGATTCATTGCTAATAGTGTTGAAGAAAATTCCGGATCAACAATTAGGCATGGGAATCGGTAAACGTACACGAGGTATTTTGGTCACTTCATTACAACCTGGTAGTATTGCAGCTGAAAAATTGAAAGTTGGTGATCGTCTAATGGCTGTTAACGGAGTAGCAATAACTGATCAGGTTTGCTAATAAGTACAATTTTACAGTTTCGGTCTAATTTTTAACTTTTTCCAATTTCAAAAAAATATTTTCTTTTAGGGAGAAATTTTTGAAAGTGGAAATTTTTTATGCCAAGATTTAATTCGGAATAATTTATTTTATTTGCTTATCAGTAGAAGAAAGAAGAGGTGTTAGTTTCCATAAATAGTGATCAAATTTGAGGCATTAAATTGAGGTATTTCAGCTCTCAGCAGTTGCATTAGTGAAAGCAAGTGGTAAGAAATTATGGCTACAAATATCGCGACCAAGGACTTATCAAAATCCATGAATTTAATTAACTGTTTCAAAAGAGCCTAATCATGTGTTATGCAAATATGTCCTTCTTTTTTTCTTTTTGCTTTCCAAAGCGAATGATTAAATTAAGCAAATTAGGTAAATGATAAATGATACCACCATTGTTGTAGATATTTCAACAGTTTTTCATTCCAAAACAAATACTTCAGGTTTAATTATCCTACAAAGTTGAAAATATTATAGGTATCATTCCAAAATAAACACCATTAAATTAAGCCGATGATAAATGATACCGTCGTTGATAAATGATAAACGAAAATTTTTTCCTTTTTTTGTAAAATCATTTACGAACATTAAGCATTTCATAGCTCAAAAGTTTCCTCTTTCAATCAATACCAAAATAATCAATTTTAGTTTTATTGAAATTTGGTAATATCTTGAATAAAAATGAAATATGAAGAGGACGAGGAAAAGAGAACATAAACGAACTGAAATTTTCTTTTGTTTTTTTATTTTTCAATACCTGTTTAATCTTTGTACATTGTAAAATAACAAAGTGTTTTTTGATGTTTCAATTTGTTTACATATTCCAGTAATTGTATAAAATACTTATCATCTCATTATGTAAATTTACGCATTGAAAAGCATTTCTGTGTTTCTCATTTTTTGTTTTTTTTTTCTTTCAAAATTATTAATTAGCTTGATTAATGCAGTTTGTTTCTGTTAATGCTAAATATAAGTGTGTGTATTAACTACGTAAATTGGTAGCATAGTTTAAGTGAATGATTTGTTTATCGATTATAAATGACTGTTGTTTTGTTTATTGATTTATTGATTTATGCTATTTACACAATACAGTGACTTGTATTTCTTTAAAAAAAATACCAGTTTGTAAAGAAAAAACAAGATACAGCTGAAATAAGAAGTAAAAGAAACATTTAAATGTTTGTTCATTTAAAAATCCTGAAATTTTCCGAATCATTATTCGAATATGACGGATATTTTTGACTTTACAATCAATATTCAAATCAGAACAGATGATTTCTTAATAAAACAAGCGACAACATCACCCGAGAAAATATTGTTGGAACAAGATGAGACAAGATTAGAATATACAGTAAAATAATGACCGCGACGTAGATGGACACTGGGCAAATTCAATGGTTAGAGTTATGATTCTCTTATTGGATATTCACGAAGAGTCATCCTAATTGCTATACATCACATCAAAAGTATTTACCAAGCTCATTATTAGCATAATCATAACAATTATCTCTTATGATAACAGATAATCATGATAATCACAATCATGAGATAATTAATAGGTGATGAGTAAATCATACTGCATAACGGATTTAATTGTATTTGAATATTGCTAAAATGACATGACTAATTGTCATCAGTAATGATTTCAGAACGAGCAATTTAACGAGAAATTTGAAGTCTCATCGAACTTTATAATTAAAAAAAGAAAAAAGAAGACGTAAGCCAACTGTTTTTATAAAATCTGAATAGTTGGTAAATTTTGATAAGTTACATTAATCATTTCTATCATCCAAAATAATTTGCATATTTTTATTGTAAATAGTAAACAGATTGGAATGTAAAAATAATCAAAATGATGAATTTGATTAAAAATCATTCATTCTTTTTATATTCATTTCATCCTTAATTTTACAATTAATATATTTACTTAATAGAAAAATTAATTTAATTTCCAATTACTTTCGCTATTTTTTATCATTTCCTTTTATTTATTATAATAATTTATAATCTCATTAATATATAAGCCAATTAATGTAATATATTACAATAATAAATGTATGCACTTTTTCCTTTTCTTCTTAATTTGCTTATTAATTAATCATTTAAAAGTAATAATTAATATAATATGTCTTTGAAAAGTTAACATATAGAATAATAATTGAAATTTTTAAATGATATATTAATATTTTATTATTATTATTAGTGTGAGGAATTTGTCGTTATTAGCCGTTGCCATGGTTTCTATCCTAACTACACATGCTATTACATTTATACCAATTGCGCCAACAATATTCATCGTAGAAATTTCTGGATTACATTTAGCAAATAATTTTGACTGATAATAGTTTTTAATTTTGACTGATAATAGTTTTTAATCTTGACTGATAATAGTTTTTAATTTTGACTGATAGTAGTTTTTAATTTTGACTGATAATAGTTTTTAATTTTGACTGATAATAGTTTTTAATTTTGACTGATAATAGTTTTTAAA